TCGTAGTGAGTTCGATCGACCATTGTGACGAGCAGCGGAGACCAGGAGGGCGGTTTGAGCACTTTCTCAAAATTGAAAAGTAAATCAAACACGGCTCGACCCACCTGGAAACACATGCAACTGCTCAAAAAGATGAAAATCATGAAAAACATGCCAAACGCGCAAAACATGAAAAGCTCACTGACCAAGAACCTCACATTGACCAAGCTTGCCGGGCGGACCTCATGACGCAGACGCCGAACTAGCGGCCTCCGATTGGTGTCCGAAGAACGTCGCCACCTCCGGCCTCGCGCGAGCACATGCCTTGCACAAGACGTTGAGGTCCGGCAATGTCTCACCCACGGACGAGCAGTCTGTGAGGTTAAACTTGTTACATGCCGTGAGCCCTTCGTCCGAGCTGGATGTACAGTGGTACTTGTACTCATAGTAGCTTCCCGGGCTCGGGTTCTTGATGAAAAACTCGAACGAGGAGAGTTCGTGATCGTTCGAATCGACCAGAATTGTGTTCTCATCTTCTTGAACGGGATGTTCGACTTGAACAAGGTCCCGAACGAGCTGTTTCACCATCAATGCAGGTACTGCCGAGCGGTTGCAGGTGTATTTCAACACCAGCGGTCCAGGATTCTTCCAATTCGCTTGGAGTCCTATCTCCTCGGTCGTGCGACCTGCATGAACTGCCGCGTCCAACAATGTGACTCGGCACGAGTGCATGGTGAGCTTGTTGATTTCGATCGCATGACGAACTTGCTGCTGCCTGGTCAACTCTGAGCTCTCATCCGACAGTCTCCTGCAGTAGACTTTCAACCACTGCAAGGTCCGAGCGAATGACGGGGGTTCGGTCTTGAACTCTGATGGGGTGTTGAGCTCAGGGATCCAAAAATCGCGGTCGAACGACTGCGTTGCAGCGAACAACTCCCAACCCACTTCAAGCCAGGCCGACTCACGGAACCCGATCATGGGTACCACGAACCGGGTCCCGACTCTCTTGCGATCCACCTTCGTCTGCCAGGCGACTCCATAGAGTCCTTCTTCGCCCATGTGGAGCTCACCTGGTCGAACATGGATAGCATCATCGAAGCGGAGCGAAGCGAACACCATGCAAAGGATCCACCAGACAAACAACCTAGCAGCATCGGGCTTCACCGGGTTGATCACGAACGTCTCGAGCTCTTTAACGACGTCGATCGGTATCGGGACGGCCTCCTTCAGAGTCCTAGCACGCGCGGCAATGATCTGGTTTTGCAATGCCACAAATCTAGCATCATCGAAAGGAGGTAGGTCGATTGCCAGCCTCTGGCACACCCACTTCACACCAGCACGAAAGTTCGGGAGGACCGAAGGACCACACTCGCGATCGTCCAAAAACACACAGTACTTGAGGACCTTATCGATCGTAAGTGGGTACAAATCAAGCTGGAGAGCTCCAGCCCATTTCTCCAGCCTCTCGAACGTCTGGATGTGAGCCGCCATCGTTCGATGCGCTCCGTTGGTCAAAACGAGCTGTTTGAGTTTCAGCCGTTCGCCTTCCGAAAGCTCAGAGTCCGAGGCGTGCTCTTGAAAAAGTCTAGCAGCCCCACCAGCCCGTCTCCCGATTGCCTCGAGCCTCGACGCCCACTGCCACTTCGCGCGACGCTCCTTGTCCAGGAGGGGTGTCGAAGAGGCCTGATCGGATTGATCTGCCTTGGCACGTTTGGGTGGCCTGGGCGCTGGCTTGAGAAGAGCCGCGATCGCTGACTGCTTCCTGAGCCCTGCCATTGGATCCAAACTCAACGGTCGTGGGGTGAACTCACACAACCCAAAGCCTAGCTGAACAGCCGTGGAATCGAAATAAGCTTTCTCGATCGAAGAAACAAGGGCCCAGAACTGTTCTAGCATGGCTTCACGTCCGCGAAACTTGATGGTCACCTCCTCACCCCAAGAGCTAGTCACCTCCACCACTTTAGCCGCGAACTGCGACCCCGAAGGGGCTTCCACAACGAGGGCCGTTTATACTTAGCGAACTTATAAGTAGATATCAGACTTACAAGAAGTTAGATGGAAGTTATGAAAACATATCTTACTTAGTAAAATCTGAGCAACCGTAAGTTTTTGTAAGTGTTTGTAACTTCAAATAACTTCATGCAAGTTTTCTCTTTAATTGAGTCGTCAGCAGAGAAGGAGAATGCTGTTGTCCAGCCGTTTGTGCCAGTGGCTAGGCTTTTGCCAAGCGCTGGAAAAATCCGCATCAGCAACCAGTTTCGTGTCGCCCTTTGGGCGCCACAAGGTCACGTTGTTGCAAGCCCAGCTCTCAACCTTGGCGGTGAGACAGAGAAACCATTCAACCGAAATCACTTCAAACACAGGTTTTGTTGCTGCGGCCCCCAGAGCCGCAGCGACCGTCAAAGCTACTTAAGTTATTTAAGACTAAAAATGATTGTCTATATACATGGTTTTGTGTAGACGCGTGCGAAGATGATCAACGAATGTTGTTCACAACAACAATCATACGGCGGCTTTGAGGGCCGCTGCGGCTTTGAGGGCCGCTGCGGCTTTGGGGGCCGCTAATAGAACAGGGGAAAATTTTCATGGTATATATGGAGGTCGATGAGGAAAAATGGTGGAAAACTTGCTAATCCATGGTCCAAAAAACTCTATCGTAGAGGTCGATGTGCACCCAAGCGCGATCGCGAAATCTCAAACAAGCTCGTACCAAACCGCTGCCACGCGGGCTTATCACAAAATCATCTTTGTAGACACGGCCTGCTTCCAGATCTAAAGCGGCGCCTTCTAGCACAGACACCATCGAACCATCTACAAGCTTCTGACTTTCAGATACTGGAGGTGTTAGGTCACCAGGCAAGCACGGCTTGTCGAAAAGGCGGCAGTGGCTGTTCAAAAGACGCGTCAAGACGCCTTCTGAAAACAGGAATGGATCATGTAGCATCCCATCCAGCCTGTTTTGAAGTTGATACTTATACGTCCTGTGTTTTGCCTCTTGTGGGAAGCAGTCCACACAAAGTTGAGTACGCCAGATCATGTCACACAGGTGCAATTGGTAATGGTGCTTTGGCTTGCAGTTTTCATAGGCCAAAAGGTAAAGCTCCAAGTAGGTTTCGGTTTGCTTCAAAAGTTGTTGGCATTTGACTTTCGAGATCCCACATTGAAAGCTGGCCAAAATCTCCAGAAGCTTAACCAGGGCATAAAAGGATTGAAGCTCAGCCTGAACAGGCTCAGTGTCGTCGATTGACTCCATGATGTGATAAAGCATCAAAGGAATGAGCATTCTCAAATCACTGGCTGAGCCACGGTAAGCATCACCAGAGAACTTTTGTGCATCAGCCAAATTCTTTCGCCAGGACTGCCCTTTTCGCGTACTACTACACCAAGGGGTGCCCTGAATTTTTCCGGCTAGATCTTCACAAGTAAAATTGCACTTGGTCGCAAGTACTGACATCAAGTTGACAACCTCCCAAGCTGCCACACCTGATGCCCAGAAAATATGCATTGGATCAAAAAGCACGGCACTTGGTTTCAAAATTTCCCTGGCCTCAGCGTGAGCGAACAAAGCATTTGGATTCCAATTGAAGCCAGCAAGCTTCTCGAGTTTTTCTTTGTCCTTTTTTTTCATTGTGGGCGTGTCTCGGGCCATCATATCCCAAAGCTCAAAAACTTCCTGGTCACTCCAGAGATCAAACTTGGACCATTTGGTTTCCGAAATTTCTGTAAGATAGTTCTCACCATCAACAAGATTGGAATCTCTTTTGCACACGTTTTTGCACGCTATACACGCTTTGATCGAAGCGCTGCCTCTCCAATTGTACGTTGCCCTGATGGCATCAAAGTCTGCAATGAAATTTGCTTTCATGATGTCAATGCGAAGAAGCCTTTGATTCCCATCCAGTTCCAAGGGAATGCCATGTTGCATATCAAAAGATCGCACCAACAAAACCACTTCTCGCATCATTCTGGAAAAACCACCGCTCACTGTCTCCAAGCTTTTGTGTTGCGCCACCAGCAATGGGATCCAGCTTTCCTCTTTGTGCCTCTGCTGCAACTCCACCATAGTAAAGTATCCAATGGCAATCTTCTTGGAAGAATGCGGTGCTAGCGGGTTTCCTGAAATCACTTCATCCCAATAAAACAAAGGTTTGAAGGACTCTCCGTTAGACCTGTCAATGATGTGGACAAGTCTCCTCGCGAAGGCACCATTCTGGGATGCCAAATGCTGCAAGAACTTTGGTATGTGAGTCACAGCTACATGGATCATCTGTCCATCTTTGTTTTCTCCCACTGGCAGTTTTACTGTGCAATCGTGTGGTAGTTCTTTGTGGACTTTGCGCTTGTAACCTGAGTAAGACTTGGGAATCACTTCTGGGCGAGCAATCTGCAAAATGCCATGCAACGCCTTCTCAGTGCAGCCTGGCACTTTCAAGCATTCGCGTAGCACAAGGTCATCTTCATGGCCATGGCTAGTTTTTCGAGACTTGGGCATGCAGGCTCCCCTGTACAAGGAAAACATGCGATCACATGAAGAAACATCTTGTGATGACTTCATGCAGGCCCAAACCTAAAAGGCATACATGCAGTTGCAATAAGATACATTTTTTGGTGAGGATTGAATTCCTTTTGAACAATTCGAAGTTTAGAACCCATGTCTGTGTGCCATGCCTTACTCTGAGCACATACCGGCTACCCCAACTGTGAACGTCAACAAGCTCCTGGTGAGCGCTGGGCTTGCAGAAGCTTTCGCACGATCGACATTTTCGTTCTGCGCGCAGGTTCAACGCTCATCCATGCAACTCAGACGTCGTCATATGACCTCATTATGACCTGGTTCGAACTATACAGAACCTGTCACTGCATGATTGCAAGGTAAAAAGCCAGGCGGCGGCCTTCGAGGCCGCAACCACCAAGCGGCCACAAAGCCGCGGCCATTGAAGCCATTTCATGCGGCCCACAAAGCCGCGGCAACGCGAAGCTTGCTAAGTTGCGGCCCGCTAAGCCGCATCAAAAAGATGCCTTTATTTATTCTTCCTCTTCTTGGAAGAGGCTGACTTGGCATCCTGAACAAATTTCTTTGCTGCTTTGACCCTGACCATCATCTCTTGGCTGTCTTTGAACGGGAGAGCTTCCAATTTGGCCTCAGAATTCTTGGCATGCTTTTGCAAAGCTGCAGCCGCCGCCTTCTTCCAGTCAAGCAGGACATCGCGCTCTTGCACCAAATTCTCTTTCAAGAGGTCTGGCCAATTGTCATCTCCAGAAGCACAGGTCTGCTGCAGCTCCACGCACAGAGGCTGCAATTCCACCACAGCCTTGCCAGCCAAATTCACGATGGTTTTGTTCATCTTCAGCATCTCACGACGTTCTTTCTGGCTCTCTTTCTTGCGCTCCTGCTCTGCCTTGCGTGCAGCAGCCTTCTCCTCCTTCTTCCTTTGGGCTTCCAACTGTTTAGCTGTAAGTTCTTGTTCGGGTTCAGGGATCGGTTGCTCCGTGTCCGGCGCGTCTTCGTTGTCGCTCAACAGATCCACGATCATAGCGCCTGGAACATTGGCTGCCTCAGGCTGGTGGTCCACCTTACGCTTGCGGACACTTCGCTCTGCAGCAGCCACAGAGCTCTCAATCCTTTGTTTCACCTCTTTCTCTTGCAAAGACGTCACCGGGAGCATGTAGGTCTTTTCCTGCAAGATTGGATCCCACATCTGTGGCGCGTTCTCCTGGATCTGGTTCGTGTTGTATCCTTTCCTGGGCTGTGGCTTGATTGTTTTAATGTTGCAAAAGTCTCTTTATATACATCAAATGGTTTTATGTTTACTATATATACTATATAAATGAACTACTGCCATCCATGGAACACAAAACAGAAGAAACGAATGCCAAAGGCAGCCAAGCTGCTGCGCATACACTGACAACGGCAGATAAGTGCCTTTGCTGCTCTTGGCAAGCTCACTGGTCTTGACCATGGTAAGGCTATTGACCAGCACATCACGCAATCGATCATACCGAAGTCGTCCATCAGTGCTTTCTTCCCTCATGGCACGGCACTGTTGCCAAAATTGAACCTGTTCTTCGGTGGTCAGAGCAGCAAACTCTGGAGGTGGCCATGTGAGGTTTCGACGGAGTGTCGAGTTGATGGCATTGCACGCTTTACACCACCAAGTCTTGCCTTTGGCTTGGGCATCGAACACAAACACCTCCATCTGGCACTTCTGGCAAACGACTTTGCTCAATTCCTCATCTTTGGGAGGGCTGTCCATGAGAACCAGAGAGTCGACCTTGGCAATTTGACTCACTTCTGCTTCTTCAACCTGCTCCTCTCCAACCTTCTCAGGAGTGTCCATGCCCAATTGGTTTTCTGGGCATTCCCTCATAAGACGCTGGCTCTCGTCACTCAAGATTGGCTGGACAGATGGATTGACTTGTGACTCGCCCGGCTGCTGAAGGGTTGGCGCAGGTTCCGCATCCATGATGAGTGCCAAAGAGAAGGGAACGATGCGCTTTCTTTTCGGACCAGAAAAACTCAAAACAAAAAACGCATACACTGCTAGCGCTGTCACGATAGTCTTGACGGTGTCAATGATAATGCTGATGAGGCTCATGTTCATGATTCTCATGATGGTCACAATGACAATCGTGATTGTATGATGTAGTTTACAGTAACTCTGTTTAATGCTTCTCAGCCTTTTTTCTCCAGAAGAGAGCCTCCATTGGGGACAGCTGGCACTGTCCACCTGAATCAAAAAGCTCTCTTTTGGCGGCCCACAAGGCCGCTGCACAAGGCGCGGCCCACTGAGCCGCTTGAAGGGTATTCAAATGCGGCAAGCCCAAGTGCCATGATATTTTCAGCTCATGGCTGGCCTCTTTTTGACACCATGGCTCTGATTAGCAGCCGGTCTCTTTTTCGAGGACTTCTTGGGCGCCGGCTTGGGAGATTTCTTGGGCGCTGCCTTGGAGGATTTGGGCGCTGCCTTAGGCACAGCCTCCTCACTCATTGGCGAAAAACATTTTGAAACCTCATCACGCCACTCACCATTTGAGATGAAGTGTGTACCGTTCACCACAAAACGCATCTGGTTTCGTCGATCGATGGGAGGGACGGTGTCGTCCACAGCGTCCATGCAGCACATCAAGAAGTCTTGAACCTGTGCACTCCCGTGATATTTCACCCTGGTTACAAATTCTCCCTGGAAGGAATTGATGTCTACATAGTTCCCATCGCGGACCAAATGGTAAATCTTCTGAGCAACTCCAGAGGGTGGACGCGCAACCGCAATGGATAATGGAGTCGTCTTCCGCTCGAAGATGTCATAGTGCTCGTACACTTGCTCTTCAATCGCTTGGAATGGAACAAAGCTGCCCCGAATGCCCAGCTCCAAAAAGATCCTTGAAGACACAGGGAAAAACTATATGTTTGATGTTGTTATGAAATGTTATGAACAAACTTACATTCTGGTAGAAGATGCAACACCGGAGTAGTCTACCATTGAAAAACTAAAGGTTTTGTTACAATGACTGCCACAATGCATCCTAAGTGCGTGTTGCCTCCAAGACGATAACGATGACTCTGTTTCGCTGGTAATTCGCCTTGCCACTCAATCATGGCTGCCAGTTGGTCTTCGCGAAAATTCTCCCATGTCATGGTAGTCACGTAGCCGTAGTTGAGCATGACTAAGAAAACACGGTGACTACCAAGGTGGCTTGGCTGCGACGGCGATCGCGGAAACACACCTGTCAAAGAAAACTCGTATATAAAACAATCAATATAGCAGCAAAACTGTCAAATATATTGGACGTATATTGACGTATATTGGACGTATATTGACGTATATTGGACGTATATTGATGTATATTGGACGTATATTGACGTATATTGGACGTACATTGACGTATATTGGACGTATATTGACGTATATTGGACGTATATTGACGTATATTGACGTATATTGGATGTATACTGACGTATATTGGACGTATATTGATGTATATTGGACGTATATTGGACGTATATTGACGTATATTGGGCGTATATTGACGTATATTGGGCGTATATTGATGTATATTGGACGCATATACGTATATCTTACAGCATATGTACATCTATGAACGATCATTTATGCAGTGTTGCAACTAATGCAAAACCACCCGCGCTCTCTTATTTTTTTGAAGTTACGTTTCACGGTCAGGCGCGGTGTTGCAACTAATGCAAGCCCCCGCGCTAGCTCAATAATTTGAAGTTGTCAGGAAACGTTTGCTATCTCAGTCATTTACATCTCTCTTAATTTGTCCAAACAATGTGCATGAGTGTGGGGGAAAGCCCATGCTTAAACAAACCACCTTCAACTTGTTTACCATGTACGCTTAAATG